ATCAAGAGCTGAATAATGGGGCCGCACCTGTGGCTCAAGGAGTAGGGCGCCGGTCCCATATGCCAAGGGTGGCGGGTTCAAACCCAGCCCTGGCCAAAAAACTGCAAAAAATAAAAAAAAAAGAGCTGAATAATGGGTACACAAAATGTAGTATATCCATGAATAGAATGTTATAATATTTGATCATAAAAAGGAATGAAATGCTGACACGTGCTACAAAGAGGATGAACCTTGAAAACATGCTGAGTGAAAGAACCAGGTACAAAAGGCTACGTATTGTACGATTCCACACCTATGAAATGTCCAGAATAGGCAAAGTCAGGGACAGAGAGCAGATTGGTGGTCCTCAGGGGCTGGGGACAGCGACTACTTAATGGGAATGGGGTCTTATTTTAGGGTGAGGAAACTGTTTTAGAACTAGAGGTGGTAGTTGCACAACACTAAATGCCACTGATTTATGTACCTTAAATGGTAAATTTGACATTAAATGAATTTTATCACAATAAAAAAAAAGCCAAAACAATTGCAGGGGGAGTGATTAGTCAAGAAACGGCCCCGAGGCTGAGTGCAGTGGGTTATGCCTGTCATCCAAGCTCTCTTGAGAGGCCGAGGCAGGCGGATTGCTTGAACTCAGGAGTCTGAGACCAGCCTGAGCAAGAGTGAGACTCTGTCTCTGCTAAAAATACAAAAAATGAGGCAAGAAGATCACTTGAGCCCAGGAATTTGAGGTTGCTGTGAGCAATGATGAGGCCACAGCACTCTGCCCAGGGTGACAGAGTGAGACTTGTGGGTGAGGGAGAAGGCTCCTGGAGGGAGGTGATACTGGAAAAAGGGTTGAGAAATCCAGGGATGGAGGGCAGTGTGGATACTGTGTAGCAAGCCTTCTGCTCCGAACTGGGCATGACCAGGAAGATCATTCTACAAAAACAGATTACTCAGTAATTCTAAAACCTTGAGATTGCATGTTTGCAGACAGAAGCAGCATAACCTTTATTCAAAGTATTCTCTAATTTCCCCCCAAATCAATGACCGCAAGATGAACATTTCCATTAAGAGTTCTGTCATTTTAAGAGAAATTTAAGGTGGAAATGCTAACAGCATCCGGAACCCAGATCGTCCAGCCCATTATCCTGAAATTACTCTTCCCTGTATTCTGGGCTGCTTCCTCTCCATGGTTCCCTGAATAGTTCACTGAGTAGCTTTGCTCTCTCCCAGAGACACCTGACATCACCGTCCTCAGTTTTTCTTGCACAGCCAAATGGGAAATAGAACTTCCTTGGAAACAGCCAACTTGAACCTTCACAACAAAACACAGCCCTTGAGAACTGCCTTGTCCTGAACCTAAACTACACCGCTAGCTTGGGCAGCGAGGAAACACCTGGAGCAGCGGCTGCAGGCTGGAGAGCTCTGCTCGAGGCTAAGACTTGGTAAATGGTTTCCAATGTGCAAGGAGGAACAGCTGTCTCCGCAGCTAGTTTAGGGGAAGTAGCCAAGAAGAGAAGGAATGCAGTGTGTGTTGGTTGCTCTTTGCTGTTTATTGCAAGGGAAGAGAAGAAAAATATGAGTAAAGAAAACATTTGCTGGTTCTTTTTGTTTTTTGTTTGTTGTTTGAGACAGAGTCTCACTTTATCACTCTGAGTACAGTGCCATACATCGGCCTTCCTCACAGAAACCTCAACCTCCTGGGCTCAAACAATCCTCCTGCCTCTGCCTTCCAGTTGCAGGGACTACAGGTGCCTGTCACAACGCCTGACTCATTCCTCTATTTTTAGTAGAGACAGGGTCTCACTCTTGGCTCAGGCTGATCGTGAAGTCCTGAGCTCAAAGGATCTTCCTGCCTCAGCTGGCCAGAGTGCAGGATTACAGGTGTGAGCCACCATGACTGGCCCTCAAAGTCGGCTGGCTTGAGAGCAAAAATGCAAGAGTCAGCAATGCTATATTGAAAAGGCAGCTGCTTCTGTGCACCGGCAACACCAGGTGAGAGGGAAAACCCTGGGGTAACAAGCACTCATTAAAAACTCTCCAGTGAGACTCACCATTGGCTATAATCTGAGGGAGGCAGGCACCACTACACCAGGGGGTGGGGGGAGAGTAGCATGAGGCAGTAATGCAGATTGGCAAGTTCTGGAAAAGAACATGGGGTCTGATTACTGGCACAAACAGGTTCGGAGCCTACTAAACTCTCGAGGGAATCATTGCCAGAGGAAATCACAAGCTTGTAGTAAAAGGACAAAGTATACAGTCTTAGGCCCCTAAACTTGCCCCAGCAGGAGGTGGACTGGGAGCTGCACAGCTCCCAGGGAGGATGCACCCGCAACACCCACTTCTGAAGGGACCAGGGAGGGCTAGACTGGTGAAAGAACTTCCCAGAGGGCAGGATTGGGCATGGAAAACAATGAACAAGTGAGTACGGTTCAGAGAGTAGTCAGGGTTTGCTCAAGAAATGAGACCTGCGGCCAGGACAGGGGTCTTCGAAGTCCAAGCAGGACTTCATCCCTGTCAGGGACAGGGACTTCTGTATCATTCTTTTTCCAAACATGTTTATTGCAGCTGTCTGGTCCCTGCTTCACCATGGAAGGGGCAAGGGAAGGGGGGTGGGGTCAGATAGCCTTTTTCATCAGCTGCAGGTCCCCAAGGAGCCACACTGGGCAGAGAACTGAGTTGGGCAGGATGCAGGGCCTGGGTGGGAGGTGTGCACAAGGTGGTGCTCACCAGACCTTTTGTTCTACTCTTGGGCCCACAGAAGACATCTGCCAGCATCCCCTGGAGTTAGGGTGTGGACCACTCAACTCCAACTCGAGTTCTGCCTACTGTGGCAGATGTGACCTGCACAGTGAGACCTCTCCTTCCCTTCTGCAGCCATCTGCCATGGATAATGCATTTCCAAAAGCAGTGAGGTCTGTAAGGGGGCACCCCCACTGCTTGCTACATGCTACTGAGGCTGGGGCAATGGAGCCAGACTGGCAGTGTCTGTGAGAACACACTGCAGTGGCCTGTGGCAGTGGGCTGTAGTGGCCGCCACACTGCCGTGTGGCATGGGACTGGACACAGCAGACCCAGCTGAGGAAACCACCTCGACATGTCCCTCCACACTCCTGCCCATTCAGACTGGAGGAAGGGAGAAGGTCCCCAGGTGCTCTGGGTCTCTGAATGTTTGCATAAGGCCTACTCTACCAACCCATCCCCTTGCCCGGTATTTCGTAAGCAAAAAATTTCTATTGTGTTTGAGCCGTAGATTTTTGGGTCTATTTATTATAGAACTAGCATAACTAATACAATCATTGCTGCATGGCCATAATACATTTATTCTATAATTATACATGATTTTATTCACTGAAGGAATGTCCTTTACCCTCCAATTCTAAATTTTCAGAACTGCAATGTTCAAGGTTAAAGTTGCTGCCAGGCAAAGGCTAAGCCACTGAGGTAGTTGCTTACGCTGTCCAGAGTGTGGGTGTACGGAGCTGATGCTCGGTGGCTCCTGAAGGCTTCCGGACCATGTGGATTCCACATCCGGCATGGATTCCACATCCGGCTTCCCACCCACCCACAGCAGGAGGATTCGGTTTTGTCTAAACAATGGAATGCTAACCTACTTGCCCGTAGCAGAGGCCAGCAACTAGGGCCCACAGGGCTAATCCAGCCTGCAGCCTGTTTTTGTATAGCCCTTGAGGCTAAGAAGTTGTTTACAATTCTAAAAACAACATGCACAGAGTCAGAATATGGCTTGCAAAGCCTAAAATATTTACTATCTGGCCCTGCCTTTTAGGGCTGCTGGGAGGATTACAAAGAGTTTAGGCCAGTGTCTGGCTCAAAGTTAGCACGCAATACCAAGTGATATATACAATGCAGCTATTAAAGCCTCCAAAAATACTGTTCCATAGTCAAATTCTACATTTTGTCCAGGTGAAAGTTCTCTCCTTCCCTCCAAAAAGAAAAAACAAAAAACAAACAAGACAGAATAAAACAAAACATTGAGTAGTTATATCTTGATTATCATGGCCAAATACTTTTAAATTAAAAAGTTGCTGGTAGTTCCAAGTTCACTTATGTGGAGTATGGACTAAGGGAAACTAGAATTTCTCCATCACCGCAAAGAGACCTGATGCAGCAGTGGAAAGCCTGGAACTTGGCAGCTTGGCTCAGTTTAATGTGCTGAGAAGACTAAAACACTTAAAAATGAGCACAAGACCTTAAATAGACAGTACGAAATGTAAACTGAGCTGGCAACAGTACTTCATGCTAGTTTTCTCAATAAAACAATTTTGCTGTGTATACGCACTTAAAATGAAGATCGATCTGTTATGAGTCTCAGGCAGAGAAGACATGAAGTCGGCAGCCTTTCAAAATCTGATTAGGTGGGTAATGTCTACAAATTCGAGGCTTGGCAAAACTGCTCTGATTAGAAGGTAGACTTGCTTTGGATATAACTGATGTCTCACTGAGACAGTTTCTCAAAGTCTGTCTGCAAACACCGGGCCCCTGGGGAAGACATGCTATCTATGCTGTCCTCTTAGAAAGTCATGATGCATGTCAGTGTACATGTCAGGAGAAACCACCATACAGGAAAAATGTGCTTAGCCCATAACCCTCCTCCCCCAGTACATATACAGTAACATTGCACAGAACCAGTGCTTCCAGGGACATTTTGGGCACACTGTATATAGCATAACCAGTCAAGTCCACTGTAACAAAAACACCAAGAACCTTGGTTTTCCCTCAAAAGGATTTGCAGTTTCCATTTACAGCAAGTACCTTAACATAATTCAAAAGGTGCAATCTTTACATGACAACCAGATACTCTCAAATATTATTAGTGACCTTATAAAATTGGTATTTAGCAAGGAAATCACTGTATAAAAGTACCTTGTCCCACTTAATACTGTTAAGAAAAACTCAGTAGAGCAAATTGTTCATATTTAGATCAGAAGAGAGGTGAGAGACATTCTATCTTTGTTAGGGATGAGTGTTCTGAAACGAAATTGGGCAGGCCATTGGTGTGGTTTCTCTGGATAAGTTCCATTTATTTATCATTATACAAAAAAATCTTGGCATTCATTTGAAGAGAAAAGAAGTTACTATATCCAAATATTTAATATTTTAACATTCTGAAAGTTCTACTTTTATAACAGGGCTTTTTAAAATGGAGAAAACTTTTGGAAAAATTTTAAAAAGAAACTTATGATTTATTAGAGTACAGGATCCAAAACACGTTTTTAGAAAAATATAAAGTGCCCAAATACCAACTTACACAGGTGATGCAGGCTTCCTGGAGCCAAATGAAGCATTCATGAAGAAACACATTTAAAAACAGTCTAGATACATATTTACAGTTGAGTCAGTAAAGGTAAAACCATTTTTCTTGGCTTTGATGTTATTCTAACAAAAAAAGAATCAAACCAGAAAACCAACATTATAACTCTCAGCATGCGCCACAGTCTCTTATTAATGTATCTCGTTATTATTAATTCCTTATCATCTAATTTTACCTTTAAAGGAGAGTAGTGTAAAATACCCCCAACCTCAGACAAGCTGGGTGTTGTGAGTGGTCACATTTTCAAATGTAAGTTCAAATTATCTGACTTTGGATTTGACTGATGGGAAACACGGGTACTAGACAATAGCTAATTCAGGCTGGAGGAGCCGGATGGCCACATCCCCATCACTAATAATTGCTGAACAGCCTGCACTTGCCATCAAGTGTCTCACGTGGCTTCCCCAAGCCCTGGTCATCCCAGGGCTCCCAAAAGGTGAAGGAGAAGCAGTCATTCAACATGGAGTGAGGATACTGCATGCAGATGAGCGGACAGGCAGCGGGGCTGACCAGATCGCAGCCCCTAAGGCCTCATTCATGAGAGCAACTGTTTTCTTTTAAAGGTTGATAGCAAAGTAACTAAGTCCCAACTCCAGAAGTTAGCTTCTACTGGTTAATTACAAGGTCAGCTCGCCTGGGAACTGGCAGGCCCCGAGTGGTGGGAATCTCAGAGCTGCGTGAGGACGTGGCACCTTCATGCTCAGTCACTAAGCAGGTGGAAGAGGAGACAGTGGTATCTCGACACCAAGTCAGACTCTCCAGTGAGGCTTCACAATGGGCCTTGTCCTGATGCTTTTGGACACTGGTGACTTGAGAAAGATTACACACGTGTCCTTTCCCACAACCCCAGCGTTCTTAAAGGTAAAGACACTATTTCTTTCTCTTCACCATGTTCAAAAAGGTCTTCAAGTGACTCTAAGGAAAGATGAAGGGCATGAAACCACTTTCTTTCTTTAAAAAAAATTGTTTTAAAAGGTTCATTACTTCTTTTTTCTGGTAACAAAAGCAAAACCCCATTTTTGGTCTTTGGAAACCAAGAATGATTTTTAAGAACATTTTGATATCAGATCTGTATGTTTCACTACAAAAAAGAACTTATCACTGATTTAAGACCTACTCATGACACAAAGTGGATTTTTAAAATTAAAAAAAGAATAGTCATTCTAAAGGGAGGAATACTAGATGAATGTGGAAAACCCCATTCAAAAAGGCCATCACTATGCATTCTCTCCAAGAATTTTATGTAATAAAATAGAAAACTAATGATTTGCAGAGATTTGCATAAATCCAAGAGAGGAATATGGAAGGGAAAACTGTGTTATTTTCCCAATTTAAATTTAAAAAAAGATAAACATTTGAAATCTGTGTTTCACATAATAGAAAAAATAAATTCAGATGATTCTAATTACCATTAGCTTGTTAATGTCTCTGTGTCTAAGATGCTGCCAAGATAGTGCACAACTTTACCCCTGAATATGCAACTAAATTCAGGGTAAAAAGACAAAGGATCCTGACTTAGGACTGCACATGTTCCATCGAGAAATCAGAAAGAAATTATTGCAAATGTATAACCCCATCTGTCCAGCAAATGAAATGTTTGAGACAAGTGTAGACAGACATTAAGAACGGAAAGTGAATAAAAAGAATGCTTATAAGAGTGTCGACTGTGAGACCTCATGAAGACAGAATGTCACAAACTGTCACCACAGGACAAGCATACAAGCCATGCCACTGACACAGTGCCTTTCAAATTAATTCACTAGTGTAGGCGGAGAGCGACATTGTCTTTGCAGCTGTCGGAGAGCACACGTTACTCAAACTTAGTAGGAGGCAACCAGCACTACTGGGTAAGTGGCTTTCCTGGTGTTGTGAACCCAGAAGGATCCGTGGAGACATCTTCTTCCGGAATCCTGTTCTCTTGGAAGGTAGCAGCAGCAGCAAAGGTACAATGTCCTCTACTAGACATTACTCGTCTATGTTCTCTTTCTTTGCACTGTAAATATTTTGCACCGTTTCATAGACAAACTCCAGATCCTCTGGATACCGGATCTCGAGCTCTGCGTTGGGGATGTAGTGAGTGCCAGTAAACTCTGAGAAATAGCGTCCCACATCAGGGTGCGAGATTTCTTGAGGCTCCACATTATATTCCAAGTTTTCTGTCAGTAAAGAGGCACATGGACAATCTCATTAAAATTTACATTTCTGCAGCACCTTTATTTATCCAGAGAACCTCGTATCACCCCTTTGAAGTGGCACTTTAGAGGTGCAGGAGAGGGAAACATTGAAACATGAAGATGTTTATGGAATTAAGAGGTGACAGGAAAAAGGCAACGAGTGGTGACAGGGAAGGCGGGCTGGTGGCAGGGGTTCCCCAGGAGCTCCAGGACTGGACTGTTTTCCTGTTCTCTGAATAAGATGTTTGGCTCCAGCAAAACCCCACCAGAGTGTTTTGACCACCAGCAAACTAGAAACTCATCATGTTCCTCTGACTTGACCCAACAAATAGCCAAAAGTATGGGACAAGAGGGCAGCGCCTGTGGCTCAAAGGAGTGGGGCGCTGGCCCCATATGTCAGAGGTGGCGGGTTCAAACCCAGCCTCAGCCAAAAACTGCAAAAAAAAAAATGAAACAAAAAAAGAAAAGAGAATCCTAAAAGAAAACAAAACCAAAAAAAAAAAAAAAACAACAAGACCCAGACTCTAAGCAG